CTCTCTACTTGAGAAAACTTAGTAGCTAAATTCTTTGAAATCCAAATCATGTCTATTCTTGAAAAGGATCTATGTCTTTCAGAAAAGTAGGCGTACTCTCTTGAATTGCCATACTTTTGTCTCCATATGTCAACCAGCCCTAAATTGTCCATCAAATCATGCTTGATAGATGTGTAAAAAAGCTAGAAAATTTTGGATTCAAATTCATACACTGATTCAGAGGATTTTAAAGATTGATATACAATTGAGATCAAAGGTCTTTCTTTTGGGATTGATGGACAAATACTTGGAAAAAAAGTCATGGAACTTTATTTTTATATGTGATAACTGCAGTGAGATTATTTTATGCACAAAGATGGAAAGATTCGGCATTATCCACAATGGAGGAATGGTTGGTGGTGAAGATGGAACTTGCTGAGATGGCCGAATTAACTTCTTTGATCAGAGAAAAGATAACATCTATGCCTCTTGCTGACTGGAAACCCCTTATGGACTTTTTGCATAAAACAGAAAAAAATGAACTTATGATTTATGGTTTTGATGATTAGACAGGATAGATTATAGAAAGAAGAGAGTCATGTTGTAACCTTAGAGTAAGAGATAAATTTACAATTGTACTTTGGCTTGTTAGACAGATGATGCCTCTCTGCCTGTCTCTTGTTTTCTTCAACAGGTAGAAGAGTGGGGACCATTCACCAAAGCTGTTTCTTTTTCTCCACAGCAATGTTTTTTATTGGAATCTTCGCATTTATGGTCCTTGGCATCCTAGAGAATGCCTTTGTTGTGTATCTCAAGGAGCGGAAGTCAAAGTTCCCATCCTTCAAGACCAAGAACTTTATAAGGAGATTCTTGCGAAAAGAAAAAGAAAAAATAGAGGACTCTGTCACGGATGTAGGTAAGCATGCAAACAAGCAGCAGAAGGATAAAGAAAGTGTGGGGGATGTGGACAGGTCTGTGGGCCAGGGGACTCATTTGATAATGTGAGAATGGGTGTTCTCACAAAATGGTTGCCCATTTCATTAATATTATTTCTAATTTTTAGATTTATATCTTTAGGAACTCCCAGCTGTGCCCATAGCCTGCCCTTCTCCCATTTTTCCCCACAACAACCACTCAGTGAGATAGGGTGGACTGAGAGAGAGTGTGTGGTCTAAAGTCATCCCGTGAGCTTCTGTGGCTGAGGGTGGACTTGAACCTGGATCTCCCCCTTCCTAGTCCAATATCTTAAGCACTACGTCACTGGTATGATATTCAGAGATAGTGGTCATATTGGTCCCCCAATTCTATTTATCATTTCTTTTAACACAATAATACTGTATCTCCTCTCACTTTTTCCCATATAGGGGAAGAGATACTCATGGAGAACAAGCCAACTACGGAGCTTCCCTTGGCTGAAAACGACAACACAGACAGCCTTGTGCTTCTGAAACAGCTGAACATGGAGCTGCAACAGATGAAGAAGCACCTGGTTCTGGAAGAAAGCAAGATTTTTGGCCCTGCCAAGCAGGACAAACTTCTCCAGTTGGAGAATTACCTTTATTATAGCCGCTTGATCTTATCCCTCAGTTTTATAGCCTTCATTGCGGTGCAGTGGACACAATGAAGTTCTTTACAGCATGGAATCAGCTTACTGTATTTTGTTAGCCAAGTCATAGAATGTACACGTGCAGTACTATTGGGTTAATCCCCCCATCATCACAGTAGGGAGTTGAAGTCCACACATCTTAAAAGTTGTCAAGGTTCAAGAACACTGGCTTATCCTGTAAATCCTGTTCAGAAAAACCAAAGGCACTTCAGATCTACACATTTTTCCCTTTTCCTCTGGAGAATGTTTGGCTCTGACCCCAAGGCATCAATTAATTCACAGTTCTCAGCCAATAATCTTTTCTTCAAGAGTTTTTCCACCTAAATGTTCATAACGTGAAATGTTCCTATTGAAATGAAAGCCTTGGTATCTCTCTCCTGGTACTTTGTCAGCCATCCTTGCAAGTTAATGCACGTAAAAAAATGAGCAGAACTTTGATTGCACCATCTTGACTTTTTTTACCATACCCTGTGGACGCACCTGGCCTTAACTAGCTTAAAAACCTGAGCCCCCTACTTAATCTTAGTGGCAAGACATGAGGAAAGTATAATAAAGAAATAAATTGTATTTATATCTTCTGAATGCAAAATGCTGCAGGTATTGATATCTGTAACTGATCCTTGAGGAAAGTATTTTGGTAGTGGATTTGTACTTCTTTTTGGCTTCTTTTTCTGACCATTTTTTGTGCTGCTCCCTTTTTCTTTCTGCTATTCCTTTAGCTGCATGTGAATGTAAACCACATTATGAGGCATATGTGAGCATGCGGGTATCTAATGCATGATCAAGACAAGGCAAATATAAAAGATCTCATCAATATCATGTAGAAATCTTTGTGGAAATCTTTTTGCTAACCTCAGTATCATTGTAGTTGTTTCAGGTGCATCACTCTTTCAGCCCAAGCCATAAAGCCTTCAGGATGGACCACCTTTTAGAAGATGAAGGTTATACAAACAGTGGCACTGCTGGCCCAAACCCACAGTGGATAAGGCAATGTCATCAAAGAGGGTGGGTGGGGTGAAGAGGATTTTTTTTAATCCAAAAATTTCTCAAGGAACAGTAGGGGAAAAAATGCATTAAATGTAGGATAAAATATTATACATATATAAGAAAATATACATATATGAAAGACAAGCCTTGTGCATATTTTCTTCTTAGCTGAACTTTTTTCACAGCTATATGTAGTTTATAGTTAAACCCTGGCAGACTGAGGCTCAAGATAAGAGAGCTCCTTTCAGGAAATCATGAAGCTAATCAAGTAATAATCATTGCAATTTGAAAACACATTCACATGTGGGTACAGTGACCATATTTTCTTGGAAAAAATAAAGGACAAACCTGAAAAAGGGGCAAATCT